AAGGAGGGAGGGCGTTCTCACATTTAGCTCCTAAACTCTGGAATAGCCTTCCTGATATTGTTCGAGGCTCAGACTCGCTGTCCCAGTTCAAAACTAGATTAAAGACGCATCTCTTTAGCCAAGCATTCACATAATGCTTACCTTCTATTGTTGAATCAGATCGAATGCACTAATATTATGAACAGCAGCTACGCTAATTATTTCCCATCTGCTTTTCTGCTGTTATCTCGGGACGTTAGTCCCGAGGTAAATAGCGTTCGTCAGCTCCAGTTTGTATCCAGCCTCTCACGGAGACTTCAGATGCCCCAACACCTGCGATGAGACGACTAAACGCCTGTGAAGAGACGACTCAACGCCGGCGATATGTTATGCCCTAAATTAGTACATGATGACTAACTAACTATATTCTTCTATGTACATTTCTGAAATGCACTTTCTGTAAAGCTGCTTTGAAACAATATGTATTGTGAAAAGCGCTATACAAATAAATTTGAATTGAATTGAATTGAATTGAAAAGAAATTAAGGATTTTTCTTCATATAATGCACTTTACTGGGCACCAAACGGTTCAAGGTCCAAAAGACAGTTTCAGTGCAAACTGCAAACTGTTCAAAGGGCTTTAAACGTTTCCAGGCGATGAATAAGGGTCTTATCAAGCGAAACGATCGGTCATTTCAAAAATAAATAACAAAGTTTAAGTTTTATAAGCTCAAATGCTCGCCTTGCTCTGTTCTGTGATGCACGTTCGTGACTCTCCTGTTCGAACTCGTTCATCAAAATGAACAAATCTTTTTTCGAGTCATTTGATTCATTTAACGAGTCATTCGATTCATTTAACGAACGAAATGAACGAATTGACTCGGAAAAAGATTTGTTCATTTTGATGAACGAGTTTGAACAGGAGAGTCACACAGAACAGAGCAAGGCAAGCATTTGAGCTTATAAAACTTAAAAAATATATATATATTTTTTTTAATGAGCGATCGTTTCGCTTGATAAGACCCTTATTCATCGTCTGGTGTCGTTTAAAGCCCTTTGAACAGTTTGCAGTTTGCACTGAAACTGAAACTGTCTTTTGGACCTTGAACCGTTTGCTGCCCAGTAAAGTGCATTATATGGAGAAAAATCCTGGAATGTTTTCATCAAAAACCTTAATTTCTTTTCGACTGAAGAAAGAAAGACATGGACATCTTGGATGACATGGGGGTGAGTAAATTATCAGCAAAAGTTTTTTTAAAAGTGAACTAATCCTTTAAAGACCCACTCCGATGAAAATAATGTTTTTCTGGGTGTTAACATGTTCTTGTGGCATTTTTCTTATGTTAGAGGACATATCTTGAGAAAAATAAGCTCAAAGTTGTATTTCTGAGTATTTCTACATTCAAATGGCTGTGAATCAGTAGCAGACGCTAAAATGCCGTTTAAAATAGACTGGAGTTGTGACGTAGTAACTCCACTGGGCGGGGCCACAAGCTTGTTAAAATTAATCGAAAGTGCCCCTCTCAAACAAATATCAATGATAATATTGTTTTCAATAAAACAAAATGCATTTGATTATAATTAACATGACAATGTGACAAAATTCACGTTTACTTGTATGTTTCTGTCGGTTTGAGCTGTCGTTGCCATGACTCGTTGCTATGGGTTGCGTCACTTGCGTGTCTTGCATCGGACTCGACTGAAGGGGTCAGTCTCCGTTTTCGAGGCCGAGGGTCAGTAATGTGGACGGCAGGAGCGCATAATCGTTGCAAAAGTTATGCGTTTTAAAACGAAAACGCACTGTACGGCTGGATAGCTCCAATATTGCTCTCAATTTTTGTTGCACCGGTAATGACAGGTTGGGGGTGTAAGCTAGCGGGAGAGACAGAGCTCTCAGCAACGGGGAGGGGGAGGGTCATCTCCGTGCCAACGGCTCCGCCCACAACGCAGAGGCGAATTGCTAATGAGCTACTGCCGCTCTGCTGAAGCAAAGTCCCAGAAAACGGCACAGGTTTTGTGAGTTTGGCTAAAAATGGCATAATCATAATTTAAAGACCACTGGGAATGTTTACAAATAGCTCAAAATATGATCGGAGTGGGACTTTAAGATATCAGAACATGTGTAACTTTTAGCGGCATCTAGTGGTGAGGTTACGAATTGCAACCAACAGAAGTTAATAAAGGAAAAGATGTCGTCGTCTGAGACAGCAGAGAGTCCAGTTCAGCAATGAGGTTTCTATATATCTATAATCTGTACACATCTTTTGCACTTTTACTGTGGCAAATGTAATTGCTTTTCGGATTACGTATAGTAAATTGGCTTTGTGATAAAGTTACTGTATGCTTTGTATTTATTGTTAAAGAATATAAATTACGAATGCTCATTTGTTTTTTTATTTGCAATTGTCAGCAAAGATATATTTGGTTTATCCTACTATGGTTTTTCGAATATTCCCTTTCATGCAGTGTGTAATAAAGCTGTTTGTGAATGTAAACGTTCTGTAAAGTTGTAAAGCTGACAGTGCACGATAAATAAAGTTATTGTCTCCCAAAGAAAGAATCGACTCTGAACCGCCTTTACGAGTCGTTGTTCGTTCGAATCCTACTGCTTTACGGTTCTACGTCACTAGAAGATACATTTGCACAATGCCCGCCTATGTTGTACGTTGTCCGCCTGCAAACAACTTGACCAGCCCTCAAACATGTAATTTTACTGACGACTGTTTCCCAAATCTGGGAGTTCAACGTGGGATTTGCAAAACGCTTGCTCTTGAAATATGGGTCAGTACCCAGTTTATTTGGACTGATGTATGACTAATTATTGATGTATATTTTCTACCCGGTGTTCAAAATACTTAGTTTTGTGATTTATTTTGTGTAGGTCTCCTGCTAACCGGCTTACTCACATTATTACTGTCTCACATTATTACTCACATTATTACTATCAGCTGTGGGCCACTATTACCTAAAACTGTCTATTAATGCAGCAGATTGTCTGTTGTTCTTACTACTTTGAGTAAAGATAAAGAATGAAGCAAGATTTGTTTTACAAACTTTAATGTTTCATCAGTCGTTCACGCTGGAGCTCAGCTAATGTATGCACCGTTATTGATATAGTTCCCATATGTGCACTACAATAAATTAGAAATATACACGTCGGTTTGTTGATGGACATACACTTGTTAATGCTGATGGTGAGGAATGACAGTTGCAACATCTCATAATGTACCTCAAACTGAATAGCATATCACTGAGAAACATCCTGCTCGAGTCGTCTTTGTGATGGAGGTTAGTGTTGAATGACTAGTTTAGCTCAGACTGATATTGTAAAATCGATGTTATCGTTACTGTCTTTACAGTTTAATCGCTGAGCTGTAGGAAGCCTCCGGACAGAGCTGAAGTTCAGTTATGGTAATGGACGTGTAGCTTCTGACACGCGCTGTAAGCGGTAGACCAATCACAATAGGGTTTTATAATGGAGTTTTTCGGTTTATGGATATAATAAAGCCTGTGGTACACATAACTTGACGATAATTTGACGTTTTGTTCTACAACGTAAATTAACACACACCCATAGCAAAAATGTGAATTTTGAAGAAGTTATGTTAATTTTTGATAACGTACATGTTTAATAAGTAACTAAAAGACAGCTTGGGGTGTGAGTGTGTGCAGTGTACAATGTAGAACAAAACGTCAAAGTATCGTCAAGTTATGTTTACCGCAGGCTTTATCATGCGGTTCTAGAGATGTTCGATTCCAGGTGTTTCGGAGTCGACTCCGTTTCCCGACTCCCACCGTTGGAGTGGATGAAATCTATTCCCTGAATCGACTCCATTTACTTTAAGTCAAAACACGGTCAGCAATATAAGAATACAAGATAGCAGTTATTATTGCACACTAAATGAAGGCTATTCTTTTTTTTTTTACGAAACGAAGCCTAAAATTACCTTTATTAACACAACAAACTTTTAGCATGATTGGCCAAATTAGGCCAGTTTAGAGATGACATTCCCTTGAAATCCATTGTTTCGAGCTGTTGCCAATCTCACCTCATTTTAAAAAGAGAAATGTAACGAGAAAAGGCCTTTGGCGAATATTATTTCAGAGATAAATAAATGAGAAAGTAGGTAATGAAATCTTTAAAGGATTAACCTAATTCATCTAAATGTTCAGGTGAGGGCGATAAGCGCATTGTTAATTCATTTTTAAAGTTAGGATAAGTTTAATGATTATGAACACAAATTAGGATACCGTGGCAAACCAAATTAATATAAAACTGATGAAACCACAAAGCTGGCAGTCTGGCACAGGGGTATAATTACAATGTAATTACATTATTTTAAACAACGTTATTTTATTGTAGGCTACATGTAGGATGAAACTATGTTGACACAGCTTCAGCTCTCTTATGTACGAGTGAGACACAGCATTTCACAACGAGAGTCGATTCCTGTGCTGAAGTCAACTCCTACAATAGGACTGTTAGGAGTCGAAGAATCGATTCTTTTGGAGTCGACTCACTATGTTCTGCAGCTGCTGGATGAGACTTCTGCCGTTACACTTAATGAAATCACAATTAAACTTTCTCACTATACTATGTTTGATTTACAGTTACAGATAAGAAAAATCTACAGTAATACCAACATCATATAGCCTAGTGAGAAAGTCTAATTTTAATGGACATGTTGCACAGATTTTTCATAAATGAACATGCGGCCGATCGTTCACATCTGCAATAGAAGTTACAACTGAACACGATGTTAAACGTTTCTCCCATCTCTAATTGCCAGTGCCCGAATTCGTGTTTAAGGTAAAGCGATTCCTGATACAAGGAGCGAACTGAGACGCACCCTTTTGTATGTGCAGATGCGCATAAAAACAAAAACACTGTTCACAAATGTTAGATAAAGCATTACAATCCTACATTCCATAATAAATATTTTTAATTTTTTTATTTATTTATTAATTGATTGAACGATTTGTATTGATTTAAACACCGTAAATGCTTTAAAACCACAAACCTTTCTTCAGCCGAATCACAACAGACGCAGGACCGCGGCGCAGCCTTATGACGTCACAACGGCTGGAGGAAAAAAACTCTTTTTACATGCTGCTGTCTATAAAAAAATAACAAATATGGATAGAAATATACATACAAAATAATAAAATAGATGTGAAATGAATTCAGAGTTTTTTTGGTGACATATTTGAAAAATGATGCACAATTAATGTGCTGAACATAAACTACTAGTGGAATAGTGTGAGATTCTGTCCATTACAGGCAAAACTGTGATGTTTGGGTGCAGAAATAATTTATACTAGGGTTCAGTCAGGAACCATTCCTCAAAACAAGCCTTTTTCCATTTTAGTTTGATGCATTTATATGATACTGATATACAAAAACCAAGGTTTGTAAAAAAAAAAAAAAAAAAAAAAATTTTTTAAATCTTTAATAGGGCCACAGACTACTTTAAAGTGACAAGCCCTTTTTACACCTGGTATTAGTGCTTGGTTTGTTTTTTGTCTTCAAACTTCAGCCGACAAAGTTTGAATCCCATCTGTTGAGAGTTAAACACACTTTCTTTGTGAAAATTCCCTTCTATAAAATACATTTATTAACATAATATTAATGATATAAGCTATTAATATTGTTGTACGACAATGTCCATTCTATTTAGTTTATTTAATGCACCTTGCTGAAGAAAAAGAAAGATATTAGGCCTATTTTATCATTTATTTAGATTGTAGAAAAATGATGTACTAAAAACCCAAAATATGAATTAGTATTCATTTGCATTAAATTGGCGTCAAATATCACCCCCAGATTTTTTAGTTTAGTTTGGAATTGCAAAGCAGAGCCATCCACACTTAAAGGCACAATATGTAGGATTTTTTCACCACAAGAGGGCGCAGTTTCCAACAATAACAAAGGCGTAGGTTGATGACGCAGTGATGAGCTGAATGATGGGACTTGCTGTCAAGCTGATGGATCTAATAATGTTTATGGATGAGTGCAAACATTCATGTTTTTTAACATTACAGTGGTATGAAGCAGGTCGCGATTGCTAAAGAGACAGATATCAGACGTGAGTCCCGCGGATATAAAGGAATAAGGACCTCTAATTCTACGGAACTACCCGTCAAGTGCTGGATTACTCACACAGGTCAGTTTATTAGACGAATTAAACTTGTGAGGTAACGCAGCACTGCTTCACTTGGTCTAACATTACACTATCACACTAAACGGCATTTAAATGTGTGTTGAAAGTTATAATGTTATACTACATGTTAGTTCGTTTGCTATAGGAAACTAGCAGTAAGCTAGATCAACATTAGAATAACATACTGACCATATTCTAACATTTCATCATGTTTAGCTAACGTTATATAATATTGATTTGTTTTATGTACATTTGCTCACCTGTCTAATAAAGCTGTCAAGTCGTGACTGAAGCTCTGTCGAGTCCAAGTTAGTCGCGGACGTGGAGCTCTCGGCATCTCAAAAACGCCACACTGATATTGATCCTCATTTTAGTTCTCCTTGTTTGTCCCAAAGTCTGCTTGCCATGGTCTATGTTTGAAAGAAACAAGAACTGCGTGCCGCTAAACGTTACGCACTACGCAGTTGTCCACGTCTGTCGCCATGGTTACGTCATGGCTATGGCAGTATGAACGGAAACCGAGGATAGCGCGGATATTGCGTCATTGACAGGCGACATTTTTTTTCCGGGACGGCCACTTATTTAAAATTGTAATTTCTCTGAAATAAAAAATCTTTGGAGACTTTTGGGATATTGTAAGTACACAACTGCAGGAAATATATCACACTGTGCAAGTGATTTTTGGATATTTTAGTACAAAATTCTTACATTTTGTACCTTTAAGGTTATGGACTCTGCTTTAAGCTACTGATGAGGTGAACCAATAAGCATCACTTCAGTCCAAAGACAGTCTCTAAGCGGGTGATTAAAATAGAGAGATATATATTGTCAAAGGCGGCACTAAGATCAAGAAGAATCCGTATAGATAAACAGCCAGAATCAGAAGCCATTAGCAAATCATTAGTAACTTTGACTAGCACTATTTCAGTGAGTGCTGTGGAGTTTACGAAATCCAGACTGAAATGGCTCAAAAGATCATTAGAGGAAAGATGGGAAAGTAGTTGAGAAGCCACTGTTTGTTCTAAAATTTTGGTGAGGAATGGAAGATTAGAGATGGGACGAAAATGATTCCGATTATCAAAGTCCATGTTGTTAGTTTTTGGTACGGGGGTGACAGCAGCAATTTTAAGTGCTGCTTGCACAACACCAGTGCACAGAGAGTTATTGATATTTCTTAAAACAACAGGAGAGAGGGAATCAAAACATGATTTAAAAAGGCAAAATCGTGAAGATGGTATCGGATCACCTCTTGAAGTTGAGGCTTTCAGTTCTTAGACATGAAAATTCTCAAACCACTGGTTGTACAACCACAATAAGGTTTCGTAGTTGACATGAACTAACAACTAGCAGTATTTTACAGCTATTACTAGGGTAAAATTTGACAAAAAAAATGCAGGTACTTTTACATTACAATTTTTAATGTGATTAATAAGATTAAATTAGCTAAACTTTCAAAAGAATACATTACTAATAACAATTTAAGTTAGTTTTGACTACAAGATTATAAAAAAAAGAATGTAATCAACACCAATGCAATCAAATATCATTATCCTTCCTCAGTTTTCAGCTCGCCAGTGGGTTGAGAATGTTCATGTCTAAGAACACATATGAATATCTTTGTGAAAGATTACACCCTGCCATTGAAAAAGAAGACACGGCATTCCGTCTTTCTGTCCCTCACCGTAAGAGAGAGTCCGTCGCCCTCTGGAAACTGGCAACAATTTCAGAATACAGGACCGTTTCGCATCTTTTCGGAGTGGGTGTAACAACTGTACACCCACTCCAAATCATCCCTCTCCCATGTGCTGAGAGCCTTGCAGGGACGAGTACCACAGTGAGTGTGCGATTGACAGTTCTTCACAACAAGGGAATATCATAGCGATTGTGTGAATCTCAAGGGTTGGCACTCTATTATCCTACAGGCTGTTGTGGATGGAAAGGGGCAGTTTTGGAATTTGTGTTGGCCGACCAGAAAGCGTCCATGATGCCCGTGTACTTGGACTGTCCAAGCTGTGGGACATGGCAGAGATTTATTGTTTGGTATGTTTATTTAGCCATTTGAATTACAGGGACAGCTGGATGTCCTCGATGTAATGGCAGAGATCAGGGCCTGTGTTTATCAAGCCTCTGAGAATTACTCACAAGTGCACTGCTAAGAATTGACTTAAAAGTAAAAAAACAATCCTAAAAAGTGAGTTATCGAGCATCTCAGTTTAAGCGAAGTGTAGGACTAAATCTTAAGTGTCAGTCTTAGAGATGATTCATGACACTTTGCTGTGCCACAAACAGGGTTTTGGATGACGACATTGGCATGGAGCAATCACTGAATAGATTTCCTTATTTAAGGATATTCTCAGATAAATTCACCTTGAATGGGGAAATTCCTAAGAGTTAAGGCTCGCACACACCGGGACGAATATCGGCGCGCGTTATTCGTCAGCGTTTTTCAACGCGTTTTTTGTGTTCACACTAGAGATGCGCGGATGGGCTATTATTTCATCCGCAACCGCATCACAAAACTCATTATCCGTCCGCCATCCATCCGCACCAACGTTTTTGACCAATTTTCAAAACCGCACCCGCCCGCCATCCGCTGATTAGGCGATACAAGGCGCTGCTGATGACAGCCGCGAGACTAGAAAGCTCTCAGAATATCAGCAGTGAACTCCGTCTCCGATCAGCGCGCAGGGACAAAAATAAATAGGCTAAATAGCCCAAATTAAACGCACTTCGGCAAACTTGACTTATCTGATGGGCTACTGTACAATATTTTCATTGTAGCCTAATAGAAAACGCATTTTGGCACATAATTTCAACATGCTGCTATTGTATGGGGCGTGACAGTTCTCCATTACGGACGCGAACACTCAGAAAGCGGCACTAAAAGACTTTCAAACTTTCACAATAAAGCACAAAGCCTTTCTTTAAAGCGAATTTCGTTTTGTATTAATTGTATCTTCATTTTAATCCATGTTTCATTAACCAATTTCCTGGATTTAATAAATAGGCTAAAAAGTAAATAGTCTATCTTGATTGTGTAGGCTATTTTTCATTTAAAAATATTAGGCTGTGTACCGACATGGATCAATTATTAATCTTAGATTTCATCTGTCTTTTGTAGGCATAGATGGCGCACCAACGAGTGACTTCGGCGTTTCTTTAATATCGAGGCTCTATAGTTTATTATATGATTGTTAGGCCTGTTGATGGTATAAAATGAATTGCACTGTGCCTGAAAAAGACGCGCTCTCCGCTCTCTTCCCGTGCATTCAAAATTAACGGGAGTCTTCAGAACAGGCTCTCCAGCGTCAACAGCACCGAACTTAGCTCCAATGTCAATCAACGTCTGGGCCACTTGGTGGAATCCTTTACGAGAAAAAATATCGAACGGGCGCGTATCAAGAGAGCGCACAACTTATTCCAGGCAACACTTTTCTGACCTTCTATTTCCTTTGTTTTTAATTCTTTTTTTTTAGTTTGTCACGTAGCTAGCTCCTTCGCCGGCGTTGCCATCTCTGATAACAACAAGCAGCCTCTGCATAGACTCGACTAGCTGATGAAAATTTGACTATTTCAAAGTGTGCTCGATTTTTTTTTTTTTTTTTGGGATGTAGGTATATATTCATATAACAATATTTAACAATATATATTTTTTTCATTTGATTGGTTCAACCGCCCGCCACCCGCCCGAATTTAATTAAAAAAAAAATTTTCGTCCCGTCATCCACCCGATCCGCGGCTGTAACCGCCAACCGCGCATCTCTAGTTCACACCCAAGCGATTTTCGCTGACGATGAGCCGAGTGAACATGCAAATTCATTCCCTAACATTAGATGGCGGCCATTTGCTCTGCAATACCACTCCATAACATTCTCTTTTATCAAGATTTTGGTAGTCGCTGTCGCGTTTGTCATATAGTTCTTTTTGATCCGACACCAACGAGACCAGCAGCTCTACATTGATCTTGCCTTGCATCTTCCTCGTCTTATTTCTGACGCGGCGCGTCAAACAAAAAAATACGATCCCGAGGCGGTTTTAAAAAAATGACGCTTTTACGTGTGCCGATTTTCGTGTCGGTGTGCACACTCACATTGGCGCCCTTTGTTTAGTCACGAGGTGTTAAACGTCGGCGAATATCACACGCGAAATTCGTCCCGGTGTGAACAGGCCTTTAGTGTTACATTCAACACACATTTCACAATAAAGAATGTTCAATAATTTAAACACGTTTTCCACCATGTCTTAACATTTTTCACATGTAATTTTAAACCGGTGTGCTGTTAACTGACCTGGCTATATATGGTTTAGATTTTACATAAAATATAATCAGCCACCATGGATTCCAAAAGAAAACCAAACTGGCGGGATGGTGGTCGATTTTCGCAGATGGCGACCTGCTCTCCCACCTCTGGTGAACGTCCAGGGAAGGGATATTGAGAGAGTGGACACTTATAAGTACCTGGGTGTTCACTTAAAGGTTGTATCAGTGATTTCAGGCCTAAAAATAAATGTCTAATCTTTCCTAACGATCCGCTAGCTGCCCGCCCCATAAGCATGCCGTCCAAAAACCGCGTCTCTGTAGGCAGCCTAGGCTCTGAGATCTGCACACAAAAACAAATGTGTACAACCACCACTCAAAACCAAAATAAAGTGTTCCAACCAATCACTGACAGGGGCGGGTGTTGTGAGGTTTTGCGCTCGTGCACGGCTGGACGCGAAATCGGAGCAACACCCGCCCCTGTCAGTGATTGGTTGGAACACTTTATTTTGGTTTTGAGTGGTGGTTGTACCCATTTGTTTTTGTGTGCAGATCTCAGAGCCTAGGCTGCCTACAGAGACGCGGTTTTTGGACGGCATGCTTATGGGGCGGGCAGCTAGCGGATCGTTAGGAAAGATTAGACATTTATTTTTGGGCCTGAAATCACTGATACAACCTTTAAATAACAAGCTGGATTGGACTCATAACACTAATGCTCTGTACAAGAGGGGTCAGAGCAGGCTGTACTTCCTGAGTAGGCTGAGATCCTTTGGAGTGACAGGGCCTCTCCTTAAGACTTTTTATGACTCTGTGGTGGCGTCAGCCATCCTTTATGCTGTGGCTTGCTGGAGCAGCAGCATTACTGAGAGGGACATAAAAAAGTTGGATAAGGTGATCAAGAAATCCAGCTCTGTCCTGGGCTGTCCTCTGGACTCAGTGAAGGAGGTAGGAGACAGAAGGGTCCTTGCTAAATTGACAGCTATGCTGACCCATGAGTCACACCCACTGCACTATACTCTGTCAGCCCTGGAGAGTAGCTTCAGTGACAGGCTGCGCCATCCCCGCTGTGTGAGGGAGAGATACCGCAGATCTTTCCTACCAGCAGCAGTCAGACTGTACAACGAACACTGTTGACTTTGGACTATTTTATTTATTTTTTAATTTTTATATTTATATTTATGTTTACATCACATCTCCCATATAATGTGCTATACCTGACTTATGTGCATTGACCTTCTAATTGTACATTTATCTACCTCTGTCCTGTCTCTACTGTTGCAAACCGTAATTTCCCCATTGTGGGACAAATAAAGGTTTTTCTTATCTTATCTCTTAACTATTCGTCGTCAAAAACATTCTTCACAAGATTTGTGCACGTCTGTCTTCTCAGTGCATCACAAGCCCCTACTGTCAACTCCTAACCACTTGAGAGACCTCTCGAGCTGTCTTAAATAACTGGGAGAGTAAGAGTGATTCTTAGCTTTAAGAAATTTGATAACTTGCTTTTATACTTACAGTAAGTTTGAAAGTAGTAGTAAATTTCATGAATTCTCAGCACTTAAGACTAAAATGGCACTTGATAAAGCTTGTTAAATACGGGCCCTGAAACCTGAATCCACACTACACAATTAGAACATCATAAGTTAAACCTTTACTCACACACACACACACACACACACACACACACACACACACACACACACACACACACACACACACACACACACACACACACACAATTAATACTGCACATATAATAACATTTTGCAACATGTTATCTATTGATTGTTACATATTTGTTGCATCTATTGATCGTTGCATATAGTCTGTGACCTTAATAGTTTATTGACACCTTGCTTTTTGTACGATAATAAATGTCAGCATTTGATATTGATATGTCTTTTGTACAACAATATGCATAAAAAATAATGGGGGGAAATAGCTTGTAATAATGGCTTGTTTTTTGTCCCCAAATGGTTTCTACACACATTACAGTGTTGGCTTTGAAGGACATTCTCACACTCTTTCTTTAGTCATTTATATTTCCAGCACGGCATTGTACAACAGGTATTTATTATTTTCACCAAGAAATAAATGCGTATTTTCTCCGACATCTATTGTGTTTTAGACTGTTGGTTTGGACTTTTATTTTGGTCTGGCCGTGTGATGTCATAAGGCTGCGCCGCGGTTCTGCGTCTGGTGTGATTCGGCAGGTGAAAGGTTTGTGTTATTAAGGATTTAAAGTCTTAACGTTTCTACGTCTCATTCCGCTCCCTATGCCGTGAATGTGGTATATAGTAAACAAGAAGCGATAGGAATAACATGGGCTTGCCTTTTAGAGACTCAATTGAAACTATTGATTTGCAAGCTGTGTTTTATTTATTATTTTATTTAGATTTAGAGAGCTGTGCTCTCAAGAAGTCGCTGTTGTCAGCCATACGTGGCTTTGGAAAGTAATGACTGCTTTTCTGAAACGACAAAGTAATGAGTAAAAAAAACTCGAGGCAATGACAGTCAAAAATACTGTAATGATGGGAATTGAACCAATTGCTTCGGAAAATGATTCACTGTTTCGAAGCGTTTGAAACCCCACACCGGTCAAAACAGTGGAAATGCAACAAAAACTCAAGCATGCATAAAACGCTTTTACAAACCCGTTGCAAATGTTTTATTGGAAGTTTAATCTATAAAATACAATTAAACCGTAATCTAACACAGGCTGTCTGTATAATGTGTTCTTTTATCATGTTCTTTTATCTTGTTTTGTTTGTTTCATGGATGGCTCAGCTAAACAGGTCAATGAGAGATTAACTATTATTATTAATTTTAATTATACTAATGTCTCATTAAAACGTCTACAAATGTATAAAAACCTATCAGAGAACAGGTAAAAACCATAGAGACTTGTTCAATGGTTCGCCGCTGGCTGGGTGTTCTCAGCGAATCCGGGTGATTCATGGGTTCACAGAGGTCACCGCCCGCCAGCGGTGAATCATTGCAAAAAACGTTATGACATATGTGACGAAGCCTCGTTTATTAAAAACACATTTAGCAGTTTACGTGCTCCGAACCACTGATGAAACAAAAGTTTCGTAAAGGGTTTGAAGTTTTGTGAAGCAGTGCTTCGAAAGCTCCAATCACTAATGCAATGGTGTTTTTCTGAAATTAGCCTTGACATAACCCCACCACAGCGCAGTACAGCTGTCAATCATAACTTGACTTAATCAAACTAAAACTTAATCAAACTAAAAGCAAACTTATTGGAATAATGAACACTTGAACATAAGTCTGCGTGATAAGAACTACCTAAAATGACAGAAACCATTTTTGGGAAAAAAATAATTTGAAATGTAATTGGATTTTTTAGTTTGGCTCGCGTCCCATTCGATTACATGGAGAGGGCGAGATTTATGACCTTCACTGCAGTCAGCCACACTACTGAACTAGGGAGCTGACTGAGATGCACCCGTATATTTAGTTAGATTTATTTTTTCTTTCTGTTCATTATTCTCATCTTAAACATGACAGAGTGTCCAAACACACACCACTGAGGTCCATGTGACATTATAAAGATGGCGTTTATTAAAGAGGAGAGTGAAGACATGAAGATTGAAGAAACATTCAGAGTGAAAGAGGAAGATACTGAGACACAAACAGGTTGGTTTCATTCTCAAAACGGAACTCAGTCATTTGAACCTTATTAAAATATTATTTTTAATTTTTTTGCAAAAGATTAAATTTGAGCGATTAACTTTACATTTTTGTCTACAAATGCCGATTATTGTTTCAATCAGTTACCGTGTTTTCCGCACTATAAGGCGCTCTTAAAAGCCTTTAATTTTCTCAAAAAACGACAGTGCGCCTTAAGCCCCGTTCACACTACACGCGACGCGATACCATTCATTTCAATGGTGAGTGGGCGACTTCCGGCGCGACAGCGACCGGATGGGGCGTGTCTGGCGACGCAACAAAGTTGAGATCGGTTTAACTTTATGCAAATGGAGAGCGACTTTCGGGAGCGACAACCAATAGGAGCGGAGCGCGTATGATCCTTCTCCACATCATTGGATGTCATTCATAAAGGCAACCAGTAGTGGGAACTCCCACTAGCGACCTCATCGCCAGCCACTGGCGACATGCAGCGACAAAGTCGCTTGTAGTGTGAACGGGGCTTTATAATCGGGAGCGCCTTATATATGGGTGGTGCACACACGTTCACCAAGACGGGGAGACAGCGCCGGGCGACTTACGCCACTATCTGCCAAAGGATCGTGGATGCCTGGGTTGATATATCCATATATCAGTCTCTACTGTGATCCGAGCTTTCACGAAGTCAGGAATAATCTCTTTATTCAGCCAGCACACATACCCGTATTTACTTCCTGTTTTCGGCCGAAGTCCACAGTAGTTGATTGTCGAGTTCGCGCGCGCGCGATCAAACCTCCTCCGTGTGTTCAACATCTGATTCGGATGAACTATCCATTTGAGCTGATATTCTCAGAACACCACAAAGCACTGTCATCGGCTGACAGCTGACAGTCTGAGTCTCCACTGTTGCTTAGTTACCAATGATCGCGCGCGCACTCGACAATCGACTACTGTGGACTTCGACCGAAAACAGGAAGAAAATACGGGTACGCGAGCTGGCTGAATAAACAATTTTTATTCATATCTTTCACATTTACTGCAGTCAGATTCACCGTGTTCACTCACATGGCTGTGCACTTGTAATGACACATTAAGGTTGTTAAGAGGCTAAAAGCAGGTTTAAAACTTTTCCCGTTTAAGTCAACAGGGTGCAAATTTAAAAAAGAGGATAACACGGTGTAGGCAACACCGGTTTTTTGTCGTTGTTATCTGTACTGACAGCACTCCAAATTTACAAAAAATGAGCTCAATGTTAAAATTGACCGGAGTTCTCCTTTAACGTTTGAACAAGGTTACCATGGGAGTGAACGGAGTTGTCAGAACGCTTAATGAAGTTTGACTTTATCTGACTGTTTTGTTGACATTTCTTGACATCTAGTGGATGCATAACGCAAACCCAGTCAAACGTTTGACTGCAGTATCTTATGCGCCTTATAATCCGGTGCGCCCTATATATGAAAAATGTTCTAAAATAGGTCATTCATTGAAGGTGCGCCTTATAATCCGGTGCGCCGTATAGTGCGGAAAATATGGTAATCTATCAATTATTTTTTCGATTAATCTAACGATTAAGATTAATTAATTGTTAGATTAATAACCTCTGATAACAGATCACTCTAAATTGTAATTTAGACACATGCATTTTCTGTAAAGCTGCTTTGAAACGATAATAAATAAATGGCGGCTTAGGTACAAATAAATGTGAATTAAATTAAATATAGGCTACTGGGGGGCGGGATGCCTCGCGCTCAGCACACATGAAGCTTGCAGCAAAGCACTGGTAAACGTAGCCTAATGATTATGGATGTGTCGGGAAACAATAGCAAGGAGATATTTTAATTGTTTATTAATAAACAAGTGTTTAATGGTGTGTTCACACCGAACGCGAATTTAATTATTTGCGCGAGTAGATGCAAAGTCACTGCAAAGACACGAATAGACGCATCATTCGCGCCGGGCGTCGCGAATGGCGCGGATTGGGTGACGCGTTTGCTGCGAACGTCTTCCGCGCAAGTTGAAAAATTTGAACTCGAGCGGAAGATTCAAGCGTCTAAATAGACGCGTATTTGACGCTCTATTCGCGTTCGGTGTGAACACACCATTACTCTCAAGTGTATTCTGTGCGCTTCTGTGCCTTATCAGATTTACAGTGTTACCGGTCTTGGCAGCAATTATCTTGTCAAAAATATTGCATCGCGTGCTTCTGGCATCGAGTCTGGCACATATACACTTTGGATAATTTCCACATATTTTCTATCTATCTGGGTTGGGACGCTTATACACACACACACACACACACGTCTCTGAGCAGCCGCGTAAACTAGTGTTTTTCCGCCACAGCCAACCATGCTGCATGCTTATTGTTTCACTGACGTTGACGAGATTAACCACTTAGGTACCAAAATTTGGTACCGAAAAATAAGACATGTTTCGATACTCGGTAGTATCGAGGCAATTCGGTCGGTACCTAAAAAGTACTGAACTCGGTACCCAGCCTTATGCCCTGGAGCCGCCATTATTGGGGAACCTTGTAAACGGTGCTTTAAGATTTTTAGGTAGGTCTAACAGGTAGAATACACTCACCTAAAGGATTATTAGGAACACCTGTTCAATTTCTCATTGATGCAATTATCTAATCAACCAATCACATGGCAGTTGCTTCAATGCATTTAGGGGTGTGGTCCTGGTCAAGACAATCTCCTGAACTCCAAACTGAATGTCAGAATGGGAAAGAAAGGTGATTTAAGCAATTTTGAGCGTGGCATGGTTGTTGGTGCCAGACGGGCCGGTCTGAGTATTTCACAATCTGCTCAGTTACTGGGATTTTCACGCACAACCATTTCTAGGGTTTAAAAGAATGGTGTGAAAAGGGAAAAACATCCAGTATGCGGCAGTCCTGTGGGCGAAAATGCCTTGTTGATGCTAGAGGTCAGAGGAGAATGGGCCGACTGATTCAAGCTGATAGAAGAGCAACTTTGACTGAAATAACCACTCGTTACAACCGAGTTATGCAGCAAAGCATTTGTGAAGCCACAACACGCACAACCTTGAGGCGGATGGGCTACAACAGCAGATGACCCCACCGGGTACCACTCATCTCCACTACAAATAGGAAAAAGAGGCTACAATTTGCAAGAGCTCACCAAAATTGGACAGTTGAAGACTGGAAAAATGTTGCCTGGTCTGATGAGTCTCGATTTCTGTTGAGACATTCAGATGGTAGAGTCAGAATTTGGTGTTTACAGAATGAGAACATGGATCCATCATGCCTTGTTACCACTGTGCAGGCTGGTGGTGGTGGTGTAATGGTGTGGGGGATGTTTTCTTGGCACACTTTAGGCCCCTTAGTGCCAATTGGGCATCGTTTAAATGCCACGGCCTACCTGAGCATTGTTTCTGACCATGTCCATCCCTTTATGGCCACCATGTACCCATCCTCTGATGGCTACTTCCAGCAGGATAATGCACCCTGTCACAAAGCTTGAATCATTTCAAATTGGTTTCTTGAACATGACAATGAGTTCACTGTACTAAAATGGCCCCCACAGTCACCAGATCATCAACTGCAAGATGTTATCCTATCAATATGGGCCAATATTTCTAAAGAATGCTTTCAGCACCTTGTTGAATCAATGCCACGTAGAATTAAGGCAGTTCTGAAGGCGAAAGGGGGTCAAACACAGTTTTAGTATGGTGTTCCTAATAATCCTTTAGGTGAGTGTATATACAGACATTGAATAAATCAAACACTTCACAGTCTTCACTGCTCGAATTATAAATTACATATAGTGTGACAGTCTCGGACCTGTCAGCTCCTCCTCCTTTGCGGTTTGCCTGTTCATTACGTCTCCCCTATAGGTGAAGGAGCGCAGGTGTGGCGTGTTGCAGGTGATTGCTCCAGGACCGCGTGTGGTTGCTTCCAGTATCCTGGGTGTTAAAAGCTCTCCAGACTTGGTTGAAGGAGGCCGCCGCTTCTCCTTCTCTCCCGCACCGTTTTGCTGATTTTGTTTCTTTTTGCATGTCACTTCACATACCCTGATTGCATTTGTTCTTGTTTCGAGTTATACATTTATACTGACTTTAATTATTTAAGGATGCTCTTTTCTTGTCTTTAATAAATACTTATTATTTGAAATCAACTAATCCGCGTGGTCTCCCCTCTCTGTTGCATGGGCCGGCACAGGCGGTATGTAACAGATTGGTGGCTCGTCAAGGGATTGGAACGTTCGGGATCTGAAACGACAAACAGACTGGGGGGCTCGTAAAAAAAAATAAGGATTTGAAAAGACATCGGTAAATATATTTTGATGCTTATAACTAGGTTTTGAATGGCCTGTGCGTTGGAAGCTTTAAATATATTATGACCGCTTTATTCGGGTACGTTTGATTTGGAAAGCGCTTTGATAGTTCGAGTTGAACGTTTTGTTTTGAATCATTGGGAAGACGCATGTGGATTAGTTTGAAAATTAGTTGCGTTCAAAATTATTTAATTATTTATTTTTTGTTGTTGGTGCGGAGAGGAGGAGAATATTTTTGTTAAATTTGTGCCTGGGCTGTTTTTGAAATAAGCCGGGTTGAAGAGTTTGCGGTGAGCCATTGTTTGGTAAGTGTGGGTCTGCACTGCGCGTGCAAGATTGAGTTTATTGATAAAGTAATCGATAAGATAATTATCGGAGCTTTGCGAGTGCCCGTCAAGTTTTAATGTTTGTTTGTTATTTTAGTTTATTTTTGTGCTATCCTGGGCAGAGGGCACCGTCGTGGACGCATGCTTTAACGGCATTTTGTCGGGAGCACCGCTGATATTGTGTATTAAAAATCTCTGTCCTTGGGATATGCATGAAGAGGATCGCTGTTTTCTTTTTAGTTTTTTATAGGGCAGCTCCGTTTTGTCTCGTCTTGATGCACAGTGTTGTGGCCACACTTACAATTTGAAAAGGTGAGCTTGTTTTTTTCTTTAGTAGGTTATCTGTATGAATTGTATGCTGTAGAATTAGTTTAATTTTTATGGC